AAAGTTGTAGTTAAATTTGAGAGAAGACTTGGCGTGGCAAGGATATTCATCGAGGAGGTCAGCCATTCAGTATGCTGCATCCCTTTTATTTGCCAGCTGCACTCTAAATTATAACCTACATTTAACATTTCCTCCACCCAAGTATAAAATATGAAAAAAGAGAGAAGCTCTATAGAAAAGCAGCTTACGCTAACGCCCTGAAATTTTGTTCGTGAATTGACAACTTTGACATAATTGACTGCAAGAGCACTAAAGGACCTACGTAAATAAAGGAGGAAAGCTGAAACAGAAAAATAAATAAAATTGCAACAACCCATAAACACCGCAAGTCCTTGAGTAGAAAAGCATGAAAAAAGCACCCGCAATGCAATGACGATAATGATGGGGAAAAAGTATAAAAAAAAAATTACAAAGTGGAGCAGGGACATCGCAGGTCCTGGCCTGTCAAGCTGGTCAGTGGCCACCGCGGACTATTTTTATAACAATTTGATTATATTATGAACTTAAGCATTTTTCTTCCGCTTTTTTGGGGTCGTCATCTTCATTAGCACATTAAAATGTCAATGACACTTGGTCCGCGGGTTGGCGGCTCCGCAGCTCCTGCGACCCTTTTCCCGGCCAGATGCCTTTGCCTTTCGCGCAAAAGGGTAAGTATTTGAAAAATGCGCGAGAAATGTGAACAAGATGGATGGTCTGGGGGCAGGCAAGGAGCCATGGAGGTGGAAGTGCCAGACATCATCACTGACCGCATGGCATTCTTTTATTTTTTTTTTGTAACCACACTTTTCCCGCCGCCTTTACAGTGCCTTATGATTCCACGACGGCGCCACAAAATTGGGGGCGGAAAGGTCTGGAAAATATCAAAGTTGTCATAAAAAATATGCTCGACACTTGTTTACGTCGGACACTCTGCTCTAAAAAGGATACAGTGGTCTGATGTTGAGATTTTGGATAAGGGGTTTTGAAAATTTGAAATAATAAATATTTATATTTATATGGGGCCATTATAAGCCATATATAACTATAATGCTATTTCTGCTATAGAGTATAATAACCAATTTCCTAGTATGGTTTTTCAAAAACTATAACATTTTTTTCTGAAAAGTTTTTATGGAAACAACCATGCCTTTTGTTGATGTTTTTGTTTCTGAGTTCAGTGGCAGTGTTAATTTTTTCACTTCCTGCATTTTTAATGGCAAACTCGGGCACTTTAAAGTTTTGATGGCCGCCCAGCGCCTTGGCAGCTGCTTCAGCCACGTTTACTATGGCAATTCATTAGGCTCAATTGCCCCGCTTCAAGCTCCTTACTCCTTGCTGGCTCTTAGCTCTTAGCTGTTGTTATTTTTATTGCAGTTTTTTGTTAGTGTTCTGCCCGCTGTGCGCCATTGTTGGTGCCTGGCCTAGTTTGGGCCATAATGAAATGAATTATGTTTTCACATGGTAAACACTCGGAGCTCAGCGGGTAATCGCTGGGTGGATGGGTCGAATGAATTTGTACAGAGAGGATTAGCTTTTATAAGCATTGTACGCCTCGACATCGACGTCGAGCAATCGCTTAATTAACTTAATCAAAATACGGCGATTATGAGTGGCCAGGGAAGCGCTTACGCACACATGTCCTGCATGTCCTTTTGTGTTCATTGTTTGCTTAGTGCGTTTGCCCCACAAACAAATAAACAAACGCACTTGTATCTGCGTGTGTTTTCGGACACATCTCTTTTATTTGTATTGTGACAGCCGTTCAATTGATGCAGAAATTAATTAAAATTTTCCCTTGCCGGAATGCGTGTGTGTTGTAATAGGAATATCTGGCTGTATTGTCCTTTGGCCCAAGGCTAAGATAAATTACAATTTGCCAGGATCAACGTTGTGAATACAAGTGGAAACTGGTAATTGCTTTCCATGGAAATTGTGTGTGCAAATGCAGTAAAAATTCGCTACAAATAGCCAAAGGCATTCAGCACAGAAAACTAAATTTATTTTCTTTGTTGCAAACTGGGAGCCACAAAATAAACATTTTACTTCTATTCCAGCACTTTACAGAATAGACCTTTCTGGGTTATTTTTCCTTTGTCAATTACTACTGTTCTGAGTAAATATTTTAGCCTTGCCAGTGGCTGTCAATTTGCAAATATTTCTATATTTAATAGACTCGGAATTAATTCCATATTACTTTATTATTTGCCGGTCCGGTCCCTTTACCTTTCAGTGGAAATACCTCAGCCTTTTCAATTAACTTGAGGCTGGCCAAATAATACCTATTCTCCCGAGAAACCCGGCAAAGTCTTAAAGGCAAAGCTAAGGAGCTTCTCCTCTCTGGCACATCTAAAATAATTCAACCCTTTTTCCCTTTCTTTTAAAGTAATTTAATGCCCGAGCTGGAAAGGAAGACAAACCCTTTCCCTGCCACACACACATTCCGCAGAGATGTGGAAAGTTCGGCTGTCTGCCATTGATGCCGCAGGGCAGAAAGCAGAAATAGATTCGGAACCAGCAACATGGGGAATATTTCATGGCACTTATCAAAGGCAGCAACAATTTAGGTTAAATACTCATTAATATTCCGGTCTGCAAAAGTTTTTTTGGCCCAACTCTGTTCGGTACAGAGCTCTCTCCTGTGTTTTTGCCAAATAAATTTATGCCCTTTGCTTTTGGCCGCCGCCAGGCACGAGCCCAAAATAAAAGACTAGAGACTTGTAGTCCCTTTCGTTGCTTTTCCCAGCCAAATAAATAAGCACACGCACATGCTGAAGAAACAAACACACACACACAAAGGAGTAGGAAGGACCTCACTGATACACCGCTATATGTAGAAATTAATTTTGCTTAGCCCACTTTCTTGGGCGCCGACCAAAAATGAGCGAGAGACCAAAACAAGCCGCCCAACAACTTGCCATGAAAATGATAATTGCCTGGTAACGGAGTCTACCAAATGCATAATTTATAAATTAAGCAAAGTTAAAGAAAGTTCGAAACGAAAGTATGGCAAGCAACTGGGAGCCGTTAGGGGGAAAATGGCAGGCAAATTGGGCTAAAGGATGTAACAGATATGACTGGAATGGGGCTAAAAGAAAAGTAAGGAAAATTATAAAATCATATTTAATAAACTTCTTCTTTCAGAAAATTCCCGCGAAGAATATTAAAAATATACTTTAAAAATCCGAAAACCTCTGACAAGAACTCCAACACGATTCAATTTACTCAAAGGGAAATCTTTCTGAAAAAGTATTTAATTTTCTTTTATTGGATACACCTCACACACACACACATAACACTCGCACAGAACAACGCTCAGGACCTCACACGCTCACAGGAGCAGCAGCCAAGCCACTAAAATGCCAATATATTTTTGCTCGAAATTTATTGCATACTTTTGAGCGATCCTGACAAAGCGAGCGAGAGGGAACGCGTGTCCTGGACTACTGGATACGGGAGCAGAGACACGCGTGTTGTCGGGATTTATTTATTTACTCCTCCGTATCCTTCATCCTGCATTGGCGGATTTTGTGCGCTGATAAAAATTTTGACAAGCCAAACGAGCGATGGGTAGGTGGGTAGGTACCCAGGGATAATGGGTAGCCCGGAGAGGATGTAACAACAAAATGACAGGATATTATTCAATTGAATTCGTTTACATGCATGAACTACATAATAAAAATGCCCTTAACCAAAAAAGCAGAGTCGAGCGTAAAGAACGCAAATTGAACAGCGGCAAAAGGGAAATGTTTACAAATACATATCCTACAGATACGTCAGGATATATACACACACTGTGCACAGTACACTATACATGTATATATATGGGGAATATGAAATATTGTATCTTTTGTATCATTTGTGGCCGGGGCCGAAACGTTTTTTGTTGGCCACCATTTACATATTCATTTTGTTCGCTCATGGGCTGTGGGTACTCCCTTATTAAATGCGCATATTTTATGCAACAAAAGCGGCCGGCCCCGAGTACAGAGCCACTCACTAGTATTCAGGCTCACGACTCGCATTCGTACTCAGACTTATTTCGGTTAGTTAGCCAGCCTGGGGGGACTGATTCTGTTGCCTGTTTCTTGCCAACATTTTCCACTAATTTGTTTGCCCGAATATGGAAGAAGGGCCCCGGAGACAGGGAGATGCGGAAATTGTTTTGCGTCTGGCGCAAAAGTTTTCCTCATACGGATTCCCATTTGATGGCAACAACTTAATGGTGAGATAAGCAAGAGTTATGAATTATTGTTGGCGAAAGTTTTTCGGTTTGCCGGCGTGGGGCAGACGGGGAAAGACAGGAAGTAATCAATGGATCGGGTGTGTGTGCCTTTAAGTTATTTGCAAGTTTCAGCCAATAAATGCAAATCAGGAAATATGATAAGTTGCCTAAATCTGAGATGAGCCAGAAAACTTATTCGGAATAACTTATCAGACTTGTTAAATAGTTGGAAATATTGGCAGACTGACTGAAACATTTTTAACCTAAATTTAAACACCTTTATTTCATCAGATTCTCAGACATAGTATCAATAATCCTGCATTCGAGTGCATTCAAGCATGACATCTCTGGGATGCTCTGGAGGAGTTCTGGTAGCAAGTTCCAGGCTCTTTGCCCATTCAACACCTTCCGGCCATCATCATAAACACTCAGGACTACCAAAACATCTCGGCCAAGTGAGTCGGGCCTGCTGGCTGAGTTAAATGCAACTCATTACGAGATCGCATTGCCACACAAATGTCCTATACATACGCCAGCGAGCACTTCTCTCTGCTGAGCAATTTTCTATGGAATGGAATATTTGCAATTGCAGGCCGAGTGAATTGCACTTGAGGGAAGTCCCCTGCCCGGCCCTGGCCCCCGAATGCCAGCTTGTGGCAGCTGCACAAACAGAGAATGCCGGGCAAACACACACACCCAGCACCCACAATCCAGAAAGGAAGGATGGCAAACGACGAAGGGAAATCCCTGGCCAGGATGGGTTTTTATTCAGTTGGAGCTTGTATTTTTTTGCGCTTACCTTGTGCATGGGTCCACTTGAGCAGGAAAACGATGAATACGAAACGTAAATCCATTTTACAATTTTTTACAGTATTTCGCCTTAAGATAAACTGGCTAAAAAAGCGTTGCAGGAGCATTTATTTGCCCTGTCGGCGCACACACAATCACACTTTGGCCAACACACTCACTCGCCCACTCGCTGTGGAAGGGAGGCGAGCCGACTCCCTCTGGGATATAGAAATATATATAAATTCTATTCTCGCACACAATCGCCACACAGTTGCAGTTTGTACTTCATTGTGCGGCTTAAATGCTTCCGCTTCCTGTCGGCCAGGCCAAGCCCTTCTGGCCAGAGTCTAGCTGCCACATGTTCGTATATCAATTAGCAGGCCTCGAAAAATCGCACTTCGTTTGTTTATGTTTTCAGCCAATCGCCCACGAAGTTGGCCAGGCCAACACACAGAGCCCTCTGGTAGCTCGGCACGCGCTCACTTTCGACTTGTTAACCGTTGGCGGCAGAAACCAAAACTCAACTGAACGGAGTCCATAGCCCAGAAGACTGGCCGTGCGGGTCCTTAACAGTCCACAGCAATGTTCGCAAGGGTGGTGAGTACAAGGACTTCGGCGGCACTCGGCTCTTCAAGTTTGTCTGGGGAAATGCCTGATTTTCGGAGTAAATTCCTGTAGGGAAAACAGCTGTTTTGTGCGGGGAAAGTTTTTGAGAAAGCTAAAGAGAGAGTCATCTACTTACTAGGAATAACTGATAAGAATAATAAGGATATTAATATGAATTTCTAAAAGAAACAAGATAAAACTTTAAATATGAAATGCATCTACTAATTGTGAGACTACGACTGGGTTTTAACTTCACAAGAAAAATTTTTAATAGACTTAAAATGGTTTATTATTAAGATCCTTTTTAAATACTTTTATATATTATCTAACATAAAATGTTTAATATTAATATATCTTTTTTTCTTGGTTTCCAATCCCGGCTAAGTTGTTTATCATCAGGGTCCTGAACATAAACATTTGTTGCTGAATCCAGCCGGCAAAAGTGTTGAGTCTGCGCACTGCATGGAAAGTAATATTTTTCGGAGTTACAACCGGAATTCCTTTGCTCTCAATTTGCTTACAAAAATATTTAGGAGAGTAAGGATAGGAATTTTTTAAGAGAAACAATATAGGAGAGTTACTGAAAGTAACGAGTATAATTTGAATTTTAATGCAGAACCGTTGAAATGCCGATGCAGTTTTCAAAAAATATATAAAAATGTTAATTACTTACTTATTTATTTTATAAGCTAATAAAGTGGAATTGTGATTAGAGATATTACAAATATGTATAACATTTTTTTAGTTATGATTTAACAATCTTAAATATTTTTAAAAAATATTATAAAACTCTGACAAACCTAACCACAATAGTAGTTGAATATATGTTTTCCTGTTTCTATTATAGTATCTCTCATTGGATTTGCATGGCTTGTGGCCTGTGTTGCGAATACCCTCGCAGTCATTAACCATTTAAGCTTCCTGCTAACCCGCATTTGAGGCCAATCTGTCGATTCGAGCCAAACATCAGTGGCATAGTTAATTAGCAGACAAGCTCCTTGCTCACCTGCTCCTTTACCTGGAGATTGAAGACATGCCGTTCGCATGCACCGCAATCAAAATTAGCTCGGTGGCTTGTGGCGGTGGTGGTGGTGCAACTAGTTTTCTTGAAGCCAATCATCCCACCCACCCATCCGTCCAGCTGCCACTGAGGATCCCATAAACAACAATTAAAATGTTACAAATTGCACATACAAACAAATCGCTGGAAAGGGATGTGTCCTCCTGGTTTCTTTATTCTTCCCTGATAAGTATTCTCCTGCTACGGCAGCAGGTCCTTTCTTCCTTTCTTCATTTATTTCCGATTATTACAAGGAGGAACAGGGGAACCAGGGGCTGGCTCTGAGGTGGATGCTTCAAAATCCATGTTAATTGCTATTTTGCTCCCATTGGCTTTAAAAATCCTTGCAAGAAAACTAACAACCTGGGGGTCAGATTTTCCTGATTTTCCATTCAATCTTCAGTTGCAGCAGCCAGGACAGCCAGGACAATAACAACTCTGAGGGAATATCCTTGTTGTTCCCCTAATATACTTTCCTTTTGCTTTTACTCGTGGGAGTATCTCAGGGCAGCGTGAAAGCAAAACCGAAAGAGACCGAGAGACAGATTAAAAAGAGAGGTGGCTAGATGGGCAGAGTGAGATAGAAATTACAGTGTCGACCCAGTAAAGTAAGTTCCGAAGATAAACTGCAATCGAAGGACGTTGACTGAATGATAAATTACACTTGACAATGGCCACACACACCCCACGAGGAGGACTCGCCATGCCAGGACGACAGGCCAGCACGTGTGTGTGAGTGTCTGTGTGCGGGTGTTATTCCGAGTCCTGTCCAGGATTTCATTTTTTCCTGCTACTGCTGCTTGTGATGTTTTTCCTTTGCTCGTTTGTCATAAGTTTACTTTTAATATAAAAGTTTCCTCGCTTTGGAAATGTTGAAAAGTGATCATCGTGATAATTACACGGCCTTAACGATAGGGCTGATGTACAGTGGGATGGAATCAAATGAAATGGAGATTATTTTTATTAAAAAACCAGCTTTAAGGACTCACAGACTAAGATGACTATTAACGAAGTGTGTCGGACCTACTTTAGTCGTGTCATTTATATATTTTACTTCAATATCCTACTTATAATTTTCATCCCAAGAACATTTTTCATTAAAAGTTTAATAAGTTTCCACAATCGCTGACACCTTTCCAACCACTGTGGTTGCAGGCGGCGTCCATCAGGAGCGCCACCGCCACCGCCACCGTCCCTGAAGATTTATGTGCTCATGTGGTCAGAGATAAGGAAAGGCAGCGGAACCCCCCGCCAGGAATTCGCAACTGTTCGTCCTCCGGCTCCGGCTCCCCAGTCTCAGTTTCTTGAGGGCCAGGACCTCGAGTGTGTTTGTCAGCTGGGTGGGAGGAAGTGCGTGGGTGGGAGAGTGAGGTTCATGATCCAGGGGTTGGGGTAATTATGATGGTTTGCTGCTCTTGTGGGTGGCAGCTGCTGTTGCTTTAGTGGGCGGCAGGAGGAAGGCGAAAACGAAGAAGCAGCACCAAACAGAAATAGAAGCGGTAGCCCAGTTTCACTCATTAAGGATATCCGTGCAGGAAAACAATGCCAAGCCCAGCACTCACCCACAAAAGCCGTTACACAGTAGCCGCACAGGGAGAAAGCACCCAGCTTCTTCCCCTCCCCAGCTTTCTCTTCACCCTCTCCACTCCTCCACTCACGTAATGCATTTAGTGGCTGCGGTTTTTGAGCTCTGCCAGCTCCCGGGCATTGTTTGCTCTTTGGCCTCGCCGCTCGCCCCCAGACAAAACAATACAAATTTATTTTGCTGCCACGCCCCCACACCTAACTTCCCCCCAGACAGGAGGAGAGGAGCAGGACGAGAGAAAGGGAGGTGCAGATTCCTTTCAACCGAAGCCAAAGCGGCGGCCCAGAACTTGAGCAGTGCACGGAAGTTCCGGTAGAACTCGGGTCTTTCCCCTTTTTTCTCTCTCGAGAAACTTTTCAGCCGGGAATTATATCAAAAGTTAGGGCAAGAGGCTCTGAAGGGAAGGATGCTGCGGGGGGATCAGTACCGAGGAATGTATACCCAAAAGTGTTAATTCATTTGCCTTGGCATAATTTTATTCATTCGGGTCTTGCTGTTGAATTAAAAGTTTGGCCAGCAACTGGCATAACAAATTATAAGAAAATTGCTCCGGATAACTGCCGAAATCCATTGAGATTATTAAGGTAAGACCCAAAATAAATGGTTAAATATGGATAATCCTTAAGAACCTTTGAGGAGAGACCTTTATTTATTCCATTGTGACATATTTGATATTTAAAGTCTCGAAAAATCAAATCAAAAGTTCATTTAAATGTTCAATACTTCAGACGAATGATCAATGGGAAAATCACTTAGCATAGGCGAGTGGGGGAAATGGAAAATGTTTTTCCACTTTCTGGCTCCTAAAGGATGTGGAGAAGAGCTTCTCCAACTTTGAGTTTGATTGATTGCGAGGGAATCGTAATTGAAATGCCGGCGAGCCCTAGACAGGACTAGAGGAATCAGAATAGACAGTGACAAAAAGGGAAAGTTTCCAGTCAGCTTTCTCCCCAGTGCCCGGCGCGCCGGAAGTTGCGCCACCAGACCGGGCTAGACAGCCGGCAGACAACGCCTGTCATTGTGCATCCACAAGATGCATATCTTTGTATCTCTGGCTGGGCGTAAAAATCATAAATAAAAGGTGGCGAATCCGAATCGGAATCCCAATCCGAGCGAGCATGCAAATGCGAAATCAATCCAAGACTTTGCATTAAAAATGCAACAGCTTGGGCACAATGAAAGCGAAATCCACACTGAGACAAATCATAAAAGTCCGGATTGGGGGCAATAAAATTGCTAGACATAAAATACATCTAGATACGAGTGTCCTGGCAACGGGGGACGGCAGGAATCGTCGGTTGATGTTGCCACTTAGCTGCAACAAATCGTCAAATAAGTGGAAAATATTGCAGGCCACAAAAACTGCTACTTCTTATCTTAAGAGCTGAACAGGAGCAGGGAAACCAATTCCGATGACCTCTTTAAATATTAATGCGCTTTCCGTGATTGCACTGGGAATTGTGATTGACTTTTTAGACCTTAGTCCTGCCCAGCCACCCCCATGCAGTCCGTATCCTTGACATTTGAGCTTCCCCTTCGCTGTTTGAGCGGCTAAATGCACAACCCCCAAAGAAAACATCATAGACAGGAAGACTCCACTCAGCCGATACCAGTGGTCCCAAGAGATCCTTTTTCTTACGGCCCAAGGACTCAACTTTGCACTTCACAGTGTCTGGGGGAGACTCGCAGCTCAGAGTTCAGAGTTCGCCAAAAAGGTGGCAAAGTTTTTATTTCCGATTGATGGGGGAGGCATTCCCATTGCAGGGGAGAGCCCAGGCCAGATTCCTCGATCCATCCAATTAAAAACTTGGCTCATTGCACATGCAACATCCGTCCGTACCTGTTGGCCACGTTCTCGCGCTGGTTCTCGCTCGGTTTTGTCAATTAGCGCAATGAATTGTGTCGCAAAAAACACGAGTGCAACCAATTAAATGCAAATTTATTGAAATCAATGCCAAATTAGTTGCCAATAAATGCTCAATAAATGTTTGTTTATTTAAGCAATCAAGGTATTAAATGAAAAGTGTGCTAATTTATGTTTAAATTGTTGTTACCTTAAAAGTCTTTTAGCAGCATTTTCTTAAACCTGACTTCTTCGAGTTAAGCTCTGAAATATTTAGCTTCTGGACCTCACACAGGACCATTAAACGAACACAAGCATTCCCCTAAATGCTGGATCTATGGGATTTATTAAGCCTCTTCTCCTGGTTTATATCTACAAGGAATGTTTTTGCATATTCCATTAGTCCGAGGGTCGTCCGACAGTAACAACAAACATCAA